AGGGGCATGGTTTAGCAGGCAGGGTGGTGAGGGCCTTGTGGTTGGGCTCGGTGATCTCGACGGCCTCTTCCAACCATAATGGTTCTAGGATTATGTGACCGGCTCTGGGCCTTCCTTCTTCCATGCGTCCCGTAGGCAGCCCGAGGGGGCTAAATGCAATGGGACTTCTGCTGCAGGAGGCTGGGCAGCGGCACAGCAAAACCGGATTCCACTTAATGCTTTGGGAACAGATTATTTATTGGACACTGGTGCCTGATTGCAGCTGTTGTGTCTGTGACTGCTGCCGTGATGGGGATGTAACTTTAGGGATTAGGGGGAATCTGTGCAGGATAAGGGTGCCAGCCATAGCAAACAAACACCAGCAATTTTTAATACCACCACATGCTCTCAGCTGGCCCCAAAGCTGCTGTTTATCTGCTCACCTTCTCCTTTGCCTTGCAGCGCTGGGAGGATGACAAGGAAGATCTTCACCAACACCAGGGAGAGATGGAGGCAGCAAAACGTCAACAGCGCTTTCGCCAAGCTGAGAAAACTCATTCCCACCCACCCTCCGGACAAAAAGCTGAGCAAGAACGAGACGCTCCGCTTAGCTATGAGATACATCAACTTCCTCGTGAAGGTGCTGGGGGAGCCGGGCCTGCAGCAGGCCGGGGTGGCCGCGCGGGGCGGCATCATGGGCCTCTTCCAGCAGGCCCCGCACCTGCAAAGCGTGGGGCAGCTGGTGGAAAACTGTGGTGTCCCATCACCCGGCACGAGCAGCACCATCGCGGAGCGCTGGTCACAGGCACCGTCTCCTTAGCAGGCCACGGGAGACGCAGTCTGGCTGTTGGCCCAACAGTCCCTCTCCTCCTGCAGAAATCTGTGCGTTGCTCCTGTGCGTGCAACGATTATCTATTTATTTCTATTTCTGCTTTTTATTATCTATTTATTTCTATTTTTGTCATCTATTTATTTCTATCGCTGTTAAATCAAAAATGCTGATTTAAAATGTAAGAAGGCGTAGTCACAGGTGACTTTTGGTGGGTTTAGAAGGAAGAGAAGCATCAGTAAATCTTGCCTCTAGCAGTGAAAGCCAATACATGAAGGAACTTGGTCTTCAAAGACCAAGCTTCAAAGCCTTTAGAGATGGTCTCCAGCTACCTTCAAAGCCTATCAAACTGTCTGTGGGCTAAACTTCCTTATTCTTGAATAGATGTAGCCATGTTATAAAGCTGCCCAGAGCAGTAGAATAGATGCCATGGGGATTAAGCAGGACTCACTCCTGGTCAGATTTTGTTCACACTGAAGTAGGGCCTGTTTTATCTATATAGCTGCCTTTCCAAACACCTCAGCTGTGAGGACAGTTTTCCTCTCAACTCCCAGGCACCTTTCAGGGTTGCACCAAAGGAAATAGGAGTAGTCCCTGTCAAGGGACATGGTCCTGTGCTTTGGTGAGGACTAAGGTTGGACAGGGATACATCTTGCTTAGCCTAGAGTGCTCCTATAGGTACCCTATGAAGAGATTTTAACTGAAAGTTAAAAAAAATGAAAAGGTTAGTGATTGCTTCATAGCTGGGGATTATACAGCATGCAAACACACTGAGGGTTTCAGCGCTGCTGAGCAGAGCACGGTCTCTCCGGCTCATTGCTCCAAAGGTAATGAGCCAAGTTCTCGTCTCCCAGGTTTCGGCTGGCTTGAAGGGAGTTACAGCATGATAAATGAGTCCAAGAAAATCAGAGCACTTACTTATCAGTGGGGTAGCGTGGTGCCATTCGGTCTGCCCAGTGATTGATGTACTACAAAAGACACTGGTCACCAAGACAAGTCAAAATGTCCATGAGCAGAGGTGGGAACGAAAACCTGGCAGTTCCGTAACATAACATGCTAGTGATTTTGTGTCTTGAAAAAGGTTCTCATTACTGTTTTTATCCACACCAGCACTTTCTCTGTACTCCTTTCTCTTTGGGAGCTCCCTACTCTCATGTACAGCATGTGTTTGACTAGATCTATCTACCAAAGACCTTTTCTCGTGAGAACTTTTTCTATGTGTTTTGTGGATTTCTTTTCTGTATGACCATGAACAGACATGGTGTAACTTATTGTATTTTGTCGTATATGATGTTATTTAACTCCTAATATATTCTAAATAAATTATTTAAGAGATTAAATCCTTGTCATCTCAAACTTTTCTCACATTTCATTCTACATTTGTGTACCACTTGTTAGGGGATGCAAAAAGTAATACAATGTAGCTTTCTGTAACGAATCATTCTGCTGTTCAGCACTCATGTAAGATTTTTAATCTTAGAAATAATTTTGAGATACTATCAGCTGATGATGAAAGAAGGGAATACTTTGTTTATAACAACTTTTTACACTTTTGCCCAAGCTACTTTCCTGATTTATGTATTAGGAAGATTTTGACCAGGTCTTGGAAAAGAGATAAATACAATTTCACTGTGAAACACTGCAGTGTTTGTCTTGAATATATTTATGATTCAAAATATTTTAACCAACTCCAGACTCCTCTCAGAAGGAGTCTCGGAAGCAAGGGGGTCTGATCTGAACCCTGTGACTCAACGGGAGGGTCTTCCTGATAATTCTGTGTGTATCTTGAACCCCCATGCAGTAAATAATAAGTGGCCTTGCCAAAACATCTCACAAAACCATTGCTCTTATCAATAAAACCTACTACTATTTCTTTCACACGAGTGAAGTGCATTGTGTCACTCACCCCCACCACCACTCGTTCCGTGACAATACTTCCCCATGTTACACCATGAGAGGAATTCCGAAGCTAAGTGATTTCTGTATGAAATGTACCAGAGAAACGAACTGGCTCAAATGATTCTATATCAAAATCACCAAAGCAGCAAGCATGAGCCTCAAAATACATATCTACATGTGCAAGACAGTACCACTTCAGAGAAGACCCTCTGCATACAATTAATTCAGAATTAGGTGTATGTTCAGGATCATAAAGCAATGGTTTTGCTGGATGTGGACACCACAAAAAACACCACAGTGGACTTAACATGGTGCTGTGTTGTGAGATAATGGGACCTGTGGCATGGAGACACACTGAATCATTCAAAACTGTCTGGAAATGTCTACCATGTTCTGTAGCAATGAAAAATACTATAAATGGCAAAAATAATGCCTCTACATCATTTTATAGTAGTAACTAGCACTTCTAAATACGGTCATGTGAATAGAACTTTACTCTTTTATTTATTACTTTATTTTACTTTTCCCGTGATGGCAGAGAACATGTCTGGCAATGCTGCAGGGCAAATGAGCCAAGATGATACCTTCTAGAAGCGTGTCTGGTATCTGCTGATACCCAAATCCATGGTGCAAGGTTAAAAAAAGACGTGTCTCCTTCCAACCCATGGTAACTCTACCCTGCACAGAGGAAGTGTGACATGACTGTCATGCCTGGCTGGAGCAGAAATCTTGGTGACACACAAGGAATAAGATTACTTTACTGGAAGTCTCCAGCAGGACTAGGAGAAGAATATAGCTCCAAATTCAGGTCAGATGAGAATTACTTTCTTTAGAAGATGGTGCTATGTGAGACGTGCTTGCTCTTTGCTATCACATAACCAAGAGGAACTGATGCCAGGAGACATACAACTTGGCCTGCCTGTAAAAGTAACCCATGCATCATGAGGAACAAGCCTGCTGTGGCCAGGGGCACACGATTCACGACTCATTTAGCAATTCCTCTTGCAGTATCTAAATGGGTCCCATGAATTTCTAAGCTGATAGGGGATGATATGCAGTGGCCATGGCTAAAGCAGACTGACTGTGCAAGGCAGATCTGACTTTTGTTCTTTGAAGGCTGCCCGATGAAAGGAGATGGAGAGAATGGGCGACTTAACTACTGACCTGTGGGGCAGAGGTCACTTGGGAGCAGAGCCTTAAATCTAAAGGCCATAGATAAAGCGACAGAGTCTAAATCCACCAGTTTTCAGGGATGTAATTGTATTTTTAAAGCAGCAGGTGCTGAGAGAATCAAAGGGGAGAAGGTGGGTGGAGGAAGCAGCTCAAACATGTATTTAGATTGTACAAGGTAGAGATTGCCCTAGTGTGCCTGGTTCAATTTATTCAATGTTAATGTGTCACTAAACTGGTGCAGGGTTTTCCTAGCAGTCTGGGTTGGTCCGGCTCTTCTCAGGGAGATACAGCTACCCTCACCCCATTATCTTCTCCCACCAAATCCCACAATATATATGAACAAATGCACATCCAATACCTCCATACTTTGTTTTGCCACCACAGACGGCAAGCCAGGCAAATCAGGAGAATATGTCACTTTCTTAAATGCTTCCTCACACTTCTGCATGGAAGGACAGATCCTTTCCTAGCAAGGTTAAAGCCTTAAAGAAAAAGTTGAAGATGATTGATAGCCTACAGACAGCATTACTACAGCAAGACGCTCTGCCTCTTGTCCTGAGTATACGCAACAATATCTGACACATAAAGACTTATAAATAAATCCATCCAACTTCTACCCTATCCCCATGAGATTGCCCATATGTCTACAAAACCCTATAGGGCTTAGGGCTTGGGTTAGGTTATAATCCTGTATCTAAAAATGATAGAGCAAGAGAAACAACTTCCACTCTTCAAGTTCCAGGGAAGATCCAACTCATGTGAAATCCCCAGACGAGTATCATGGTTTCCACCTTCGTCGGCCTAGGCCACGGAGCCCAGCAGCACAGGAAATGCCTCATGACGCCCGAGAAACCGGTCTGCCCTCATCAGAAGGGAACCCGAGATCTCTCCCATCACTTATGCAGCTTTGGATTACAGCACTGATTTTGTCAAAGCGGTGTTTGGTAAACACGGCATGATGGCAGTGCCTGCCCTGACCCCGAGAAAGGCCTAATGTGCAGCCAGGATGATATTTTACACAAATCAAAGTAGAGTTACTGTGCTAAGACATGTAGATGTACAACCAATCAAAATACAATTAACATTGTATTTTGTATAATTTCCCCTGCTCAGGAAGGTACAGTATTAAAAAAATCAAACTTAAAAAGAGTCTATTCTTACAAAAAAGACCCGGAGACTTGAAAAGGGAAATTGCGGCGCGTGAAGCACTCAGTGGGGAGGCCATTAGCCCTAGGTAGCAGGAAACACTGGGCACAGAGGCTTGGGTGGAATTTAGGCCAGCTGGCTCCGATCCGGAGCATTTTATTGCCTGTAAAATGTGTTTCACAACGAACTATACGGGTCTATATGCAATTGACAGCTTCTGCAGTGATCTCTACGGGCAAGAATGGAAAAAGAGGGTTGTCAGCTGGCAGCCCCTCGCAGTCTGCTGCCGGTTCACCAGGGCTCCCTCCGGCCTGGCAGGCCGGGCCCGCCCAAAGGGC